CCCCACTCTCCTCCTGCCCCTCACACCATCCCCACTCTCCTCCTGCCTTTCATACCATCCCCACTGTCCTCATGGTGCTGGTTAAAGTTCTCATAGGAGTCCCAGCGAACAGCTGAGTCTGTGGTGTTGTAGTCAACAGAAACAGATGCATCATTTCGTGGAGGTTCCCGACCTAAGATGGGGGAACAGTGAGTACTGGGTTCAAAGGGTGGGCAGGAGACCCAGGGAAGAGGGAAATGGGAAGTGGGAAGTGGGGGGGACACTGACAACAGAACAGAATTTGGGTCTTACCTTTTATTTTCTCAGGGCCAGAGGAGAAGACAAATTCCACCGAGGCTTGGAAAGGGAATCTCTCATCTGGGAAAGAAGGAAGCCAAGAAGCCTGAGCAGAAGGGCCCTGGAGATCACCCATGAGGCCCTCAGCCACTTCCCTCTGCTCTCACCATGGACACTGTCCCTTTCCTAGGTATGCCAGCACCCTCCCCACTCTGTATCCCTTCCCCTTCCCTCCTCACACACACACACACACACACACACACACACACATGCATACACACACACACATATATACACATGCACACACATACACACATACACATATATACACATACACACATACACACATACACACATACACATACATACACACATACACATACATACACACACATATATACTCTCTCTCTCTCTCTCACCGGTCCAGGCTTCATCCAACTGGTCTTTGGAGAAGGTGAGGTGGGGTCCATGAATGGTACATGTGTGGAACTGAACCCGGAACACAAGGGTCCGCTCTGACTCCCGGCCTCCCTTATGATAGCATGTCACCTGTTTGGGTGAAAGAGGGGAAAGGGCCCTTAAGCACCCAGCCACCACGTCAAGTTATCACCATAGCTCAACTCCAGGGAACTTCTTCTGGGAATCCCCTTCCCCACCTCAAAGTCCCACCTTCACCACCCGGACCCACAGAACGTCAGAATATGACTCTTCTCTATGCCTCCCAAGATCTCCCCTTTCTTCCCCCCAGCTTTGCTATTCTTACCAGGACATCACCTTTGAGGAGAAGTGCGGGCTCCAGGCTGATGCAAAGCTGCTGGGGCCCTGGATTTGAGATGTGACTTGGGGGAAAATGAGAGGAAAGGAATGAGACAGAAGGTTGACTGGAGAGGAAGCTTATCTGCTTTATGTCTAATGAGTCGGGAATAGGGAGCAGACACAGGGACGGAAGGCTCAGACTGTGTGGACCCAGATGCCCAGTGAGGTGGGGAGGGGAAACATCTGGGGAGGATGGGGCAGTTAGAGACTGAGACCTTTGGGGTTAAGGAGGAATTTGGAAGAATTGGGATAGCGTAGGGAATAAGATATCTCAGCCGGGGACTGAGGCCTCCAAGGAGGGTAGGGGCTGAGCTTGGGGAATGGCAGATGGGGAGGAACAGGGGTTGATGACAGCTCACTAGACTCCAGACGTATAGACGAGTTGCATGGACTGATAGATCTTGAGGAAGGGTTGATAGCCTGATGTAGAGAAGAGGAAGGTGAGGAGGAGGAGGAGGAAGAGGCCAGGAAAGGCTCTGCCCCTCCCTGAACCCACAGCGTCAGGGGACTCACCTGTTCCTGGCTCAAAGGCAGGCAGGACGGGCATGAGCACATGGTGGAGAAACAGGGGGCTGCTATTCATTCTGATGGAGCCAGACAGGAGACCGCTGAAGTAGCTGATGTACCTGCATGGGTTGAGTCAATTCACCATGAACTGGGTGTAAGGCACTGGGCTGGGTAGTGAGAGGGATGAGCAGAAACTGTCCCTGCCCACAAAGTGCTTACAGACTAGTAGGGAAGGGTGTTTAGGCACACAAATCATGAGGCTGGACAAGTGCATAAGAGAGGGGGGAGAAAAAGTCACATGAGGTCTGAGGAAGGAATGAACATTTCCAACCAGAGTCAAGAGGGAGGGCTTCATGGCAAGGATAGCTAGTTCAGAGAATGGAACTACATTCTATATCTTTCTACATATTCTACATCAGGCTTAAGTTCCTAATCTTTTAATTTTTTTTGTATCATAAATGCCTTTGGCAGTCTGTTAAGACCTACAGACCCCTTGTCTGAATCACGGATTGTTGTTTTAATTCATAATTGAAGGAAATGCTAAATTTCAGTTAGAGGTTAGTGAAATAAAGATGTATTTTTTTTTCTCATGTAAGTGGACCCTCTGAAATTCATCCACAGATTCCTTAGGGGTCTATGTACTGACCCCATGTTAAGAAGAATGCCTGTCCTCTCCTCTCTCTGCCCACCTCCAGGCAGTTCTGCCCTCCACCTCTCAGCCCCAGGAAACTTCTCCACCTTCCACTTTGGGACAGAGCATCCCAAAGGGCTCTTTTCCTTGCACTGAGTCCTGCTTCACTTAGGGCCCCTTGGTTCTCACCTTATTTCCTAGCAGGCAGGCCTGCAGCCCCTGACCACCCCATGCTCACTCTTGTCCACCACTGCCTTCCTGGGGGTCCTCTGCTCACCTTCGCTGGGAGGGCTGGAACTCAGAAGCCATTTTGTCTTCACAGAACTTTCGCATGGTGAGAGTGGCCAAAGCCTGATCTTCACTGGGAGGACAGAGAGTGTCAGGGGAGTTATGGAGGTATAGAGCCTGAGTGAGCATTCCAAGCCCCTCCCCAGTGACCCTCTAGAGGAAAACTTGAAGGATGGGGGGCGAGGAGAGACAGACCATAATGATGGTCTACTTCTGTATAGCCTAAAGCTATACAGCTTTATATATAGTATATATAATATAGTGTGTATATATTATATATAATATAATATATAGTATAGTATATATAATATATAGTATATACAACATATAGTGTATACATATTATATATACATACACATATACATATATTACCCATATATACATATACATTATACAATATACATATACACATAACTATATATTACACGTATATATACATATATACATATATATGTGTATATATCACTTTCAAGTGATTGCCTTTATCTCCACTTTACAGATGAAGCTGAGTGACTTGTCCAAGGTCACAGAGCTAGTACTGACCTAGGGGGTCCCATTCTACTCTGCTGCCTGGGAGGGGGGTGAGATGTCAATGGGTCACATCCTTAAGGGGGTGGAGGATGAGGCTGTCTGTTCCAAGCTTCCCCGTCCCTAGCGGGTGGGAAGAAGGGAAGGACAGAGGCACACCTGGCCGAGATCTTGCTGTAATGCATGTAGGCAGCCACAATGACACCCAGCTTGGCCTTGTTTCCCTAAGGCAGAGAGAGACAGAGACGGGGCTGGTACCTCGGCTGGAAGTCTTGGTCCTCGAAAGCCTCACCCCCTCACCCCACATGCTGGGCGTACCTTGCAGTAGAGAACCACCACATGCTGGGGGCTGGAGCTAAGCCAGTTTTCCATAGCCTTGCAAATGGAGCACAGCTTGTCCAGGGGGGGTGCGTGTAAGTCAGGCCAACCGAAGTCCTGGACCTGGAGGGGTCAATCAGTCCACAGGCATTTAGTAAGAACTGAGCTAAGGGCTGGGGATACAAAGAAAGGCAAAAACCAGAAAGAAGGGAAGGGATGATGACGAGGGCCCTGGGGCCAGGGTGGGTGTCTGTGAACTACTTAGGGTGGGAGAGAGGAGATCCTGGGATCTTCTATACTGGTCTGTGCAGGGCTCAGATCCCACAGAAGCACAGATTTAGAGCTGAAGGGAGCTTCAAAGAGGACCGCAAGGTCACCTAGTCCAAACTCCCCATTTTACATATGAGGAAACTGAGGCCCCAGAGAAGTCAAGTGATTAGACCAAAGTCATATAGGCAGTAAATGGCAGAGGTGGTATTTGAACCCAGGCCTTTCCTCTGAATTCTAAAATTCAGCACTCCCTGTTGTCTGGAGCACAGAGCCCTGGCATGTCTCCTCCCCCACCCCCTCTGAACCTGTTCTCTCTGGCAGTCCACAGCAATCCTGCTCTCAAGGAGGCAGGCTGGGAGAGGCTTTTCGAGAGCACCGCTACCGCAGGCCCGGCCATTCCACTTTACAGGGAAGGGGGCAGGTTGGCTAGGTTTCGTCCAGCCTGAGGCAGAGACGCCCGTTTGGAGAGTCTGGGCGGCCCTCCCCTACCTTGGGGTTCAGGCGATTCAGGTCATGCCGTTTCTCTGACAGGTTGAAGAGCTGCAAAAGACAGGGGCAGAGGTAGGGGAGGGTTTGTGATTTTACTGGTATAGGGAGCTCCCGAGACCCACCAAATGCACCTCTGCTCTGCAACTTCTCGTTTTCAAAGAGAGTTGCTTAGAGTCTAAGTGACTCGCCCAGGGTCATACAGCCAGTATCTGTCAATCAATCAAAGTATCTATTAAGCACCTACTGTGTACTGGACACTGTGCTAAGTGCTGAGAATACAAATACATACAAAAAAATGAAACAGAAAGGGGGCAGCTAGGTAGCACAGTGGATGGCGCTCTAGCCTTGCAGTCAGGAGGACCTGAGTTCAAATCCAGCCTCAGACCCTTGACACTTACTAGCTCTGTGACCCTGGGCAAGTCACTTAACCCTGATTGCCTCACGGAAAAAAAAAAAAAAGAAACAGAAGAGAATAAGCATTTATATTTATAGCACTTTCTATATGCCATACACTGTGCTATTATACTATTATATTTATACTATATATTATATATATCATAATATATTTTATATTACACTATTACAAATATTATCTCATTTGACTCTCACAACAACCCTGGGAAGTATTAGGTGCTGTTATTAGCCTCATTTTACATTTGAGGAAACTGAGGCAAACAGAGGTTATGTGACTTCCCCAGGTTATACAGCTTAGGACGCGTCTGAGGCTGCATTTGAACTCAGGTCCTCCTGACTCCACACCCACTCGAAGCCTCGAAAACCTATTCTCAAAGACCTCACATTTCATAGCAGAAATGGGGCTTGAACCCAGATTTTCTAACTACAAAGCAAGCTTTGAGGTTATGCCACGGGGCCACCCAATGCTGTTAGCTTTGTGACTCAGTACCCCACCAGGCCAGGCCCCTCCTCCGAGCCATTCTCCCAGGTCTTGGCCCTGTCTCTCACCAGGTAGTTGTCCCGGTGCTTGGACTGAAGCACGTGTGCCAGTTCCCGAAGGTGGCCTCGATGTCTCTGTTCGTCGAACCTCCCTGGGAAGGCGGCTGCCAGGATTCTCTCGGTCACATAGGTCAGATCCAGGTCCCAGCGGCGCTCCATGAGTGGGTCCAGACTAAAACTCCTAGTAGTTATATGGAAGCAAATGGGGATGGAGGAATGAAAGTTACAGGGAGAAAGACTTGGGGTCAACCTAAAAGAACTCTCTACTATTGGTAGGAAGCAGTTCTAGGAAGAATTTTTCCTCTTATTGGAATGTAGTGAGCTCTCTGTCACTAGAAGTATCCAAATAGAAGGGGCTGGTCAGGGATGTTATAGAGAGAATCTACTCTCCTTGGGAGCTTTAAAGTCATTTCCAACACTAAAATTATGGAGGAGTTTATGTTGCCGGGTGAAGTGTATATGGGCATAGGTGCTGAGGAGTCACCCAACCTGGGCACGGCAGATATCATAGTAGGGGAAGAGTGGGGAGAAGGGGAGGAGTGGGTACGATACCAATGATGTCATAGGATTTAGAGCTAGAGAGAGGTCATCTACTCCACCATCTTTATTTTACAGAGAAGAAATCTCTGGCCCAGGTAAATGATTTATCCAAGATTACAATCAATCGATCAATCAATATTTATTAAACACCTAATACTCTTACATCCTTTCCACTACATCATACGGGGGCATCGTGCAGGGCCGAGACACGGATGACTAAGGGACGGGAACTGCTCACCTACAGCTGGGGAAGCGGGTAAGTGTCTGGTTAAAGCTGGGGACTGAAGGGAGGTCAGGCCACCACCACCCTCCACCCCACCCCCACCCTCCACCCCACCCCCATACCTGGGCAAGGTGCTCCGCTGCTTGGAATGATTCAAAGACTTGGTGGATCCCTGGAGAGGAGAGAAGCCTTGTCTGGGACTCCCCTGCTCTTCCCTCCTCTCCTACCTCCCGAGCACCCCCCTACCTCGTTCACTTGAAGGTCATCATTTCCCTTAGCTAACCCCCTCCCCCATTTCTCCTCTACTGCTACCTTACCAGGTGCTCAATGCGTCTGACTGGTGCAGTGTTTCTCCTCTACGAAGGAAAAGAGCGTTGGATGAATAAGTGGTGGGAGCAGAGGGGGGCCCTAGATAGTATCTAGGGAATGTCTAACAAATTTTTTAGTAAGTCCCATAGACTGCTGAAGCCTGAGTGGGCAAGTCACTTCCCAAAAGGGTAGAGGGTAGAAAGGGGTTTCTGACAGTTGGGGAAGTGTCTATACCAGGAGGATGAGAAAGAAGGTAAAGATGGGCACCAAGATGCCAACTGCTCCCTGAATGGTGCCTACAACCAATATCCAAGGGTATCCCAGAGGAGCCAACCCACCCACCATATCTGGAGCTATTAGACAAGAGACTACTCAGGGTTCTCTAAACATACTCACCAGCTCCACAGGGGGCAGGGCCTGGCACGTCGTGGTCACCTGGAAGGAGGCCTTGGTGAAAGGGGTACCTCTGCCCCCAATGCCCACTCCTTAGAAGAGTGGTGGTTGGGGGTACCCCTGGTCCAAGGTGAGATGGCTGAGGGGGTTGTGGGCACCAGCTGAGGACTGACGCTATAGAATGGAGCTGTTGCAGTCTCCCCTCCGGCCTCTTGGCCCCCCACCCCCCTAGACCCCTTGCTTGTTGCTCTTGGCTCCCAGCCCCCTCCCCACACAGACCCCCATTCATCCCAGCCTAGGGACGAGAAGCTATATATAGTACAGCGCAGGCGGGCAGTGGCCGAGTAGGGACACTGGTGTCTTTCATGGGGGAGAACCCGCCCCTGGGCATAGAGCTTCCCCCAGGCTGATTCCCTCCCCCTTCTCCACCCCCAGCACTCTACACCCTTGATCCCCAAAGAGGTGACATTGCTAGAGGGTGAATGGCTGTCTGTGCCCTCCCTTCCTTCTTTCATCTTAAACACTTTCCAGGAGGCTGGAGGGTGGGAGTGGGCAGGGCTGGTAGAGAGTGGTAGGATCCGGAGGTCCTGATGACCAGCACTGCTCCAAGCTCTGGTGGCCATTCTGGGTGCCCAGAACCCTCTTTCAGAAGTAGAGGAGAAAGCTAAGCCTGACACCTGGAGCCCCACACTTAGCTCCCCCTCCTCCCTGCTGGGGCTCACCACCCCCTCCCCCCTTCCTTCTACTCCCGTCCTCGGTCCAGCTGCAGCCTGGGCACATCACCAAGACAAACTCCCAATTCCCCCCTCCACCCAGCTCGTGACACCCCCCTGGAGGTGGAGCCCAGCGGCTCTTAAAGGCATAAGCACAGCATCCTCCCCTGTGACCCGTGTGTCTGTAGAGGTAATGATACAGGATATCTGAGGGGTTGGGACGGTGGTAGGAAGGAAGAGTGGGGGGGGCAGGCTCCTCCTGGGCCTGGGTGCCAGGCAGGGGGAAGCCTGGAGGTCAGTTAAGCCCTAGGCTATCTCTCTGGGACCCTTCTGGAGCCAGGCTGAGGGTCAGGGGACTTACCTTGGCCTCACATTTCCGATGTGCCGCTGCTTTGCAAACTGAGGGGGAATAAGAGAAAAAGGAGGGAATAAGAAAAACACTTTGGGATGGCCTTAGGCTAGGGCCTTTCTCCCTGACCTTGGAAGGGAAAACCTAGGGATCCAGTAGGATTGAGCCTACTGGGAACACAGGGAGGAACCATGAATTTCCTCAACAAGGGATGTTGACAGGGATGAGAAAGGGAAAAGGGGATGGTGGGTGTTGTAAGTGGAGAGTGGCGACGGAGTATCTTGAGGACCACAGACTGGGGCCTGGGAGATTTCAGAAGGGAGGATGAGGCTGGTAATGGAGTGCCAGGGGCTGAGGGGCAAGGACGAAGGGGCTGTTAATGCTAAGTGCTGTCTGGGTTGTGAGGGGACTTTAGTGAGTTTGGGTGCATGGCTCTGGAGACAGGCTGGTTGTGAAGGAGTGGGGCTCTTTCTAAGGGGGCAGCTGGGAGGCAAAGGCTGTCGTGTTGTCCCGGAAGAGGAGAGGCCGGGAATATGGGAAGGGGGCTGCCTAGAGGAGGAGTGCCCAGTTTAGATGGGAGTGGGGAATGTCGAGGAGTCAGGGGAGTCTCCCGACTGTGGGAGGATGTCAGGGGCTCTCACCTCGGCACACTAGCCCGGTCCCATCAATTGTCACCTTACAGGCAGTACAGGCTGGTGGCTTCTTCCGGAAAACCTTCTCCCTAAAACTGTGTGGCTCAGCCTTCCCAGGCTGAGGACACAGGAATGGACAATTCATTACAATCTGGATCAGATACTGTCCCCAGAGTCTTCATACTTTGGCCCTGTCCTTCCCCAGTCATCAGTCTTGAGCCCCTCCCCCTCCCCCTATCATTCTATCTGGGTTGGGTTTGTCAACCGGAAATTATAAAGGGCTACAATACACATTTTTCTCCTTTTCCCCCCCATACCCTCACTCTCCAAACCTCTAGTCCTACCTCCCCCGCCTGGAAGATATACAGACCCCTTCGAAGCCGCTAATTCTGGGGAGGAGTCCTGACCCTGGGGAGTTTCTGGTCTCACCCCTCCCTCCTCCTGGGGGAGGTGGAATGTGCTTGGAATCTGCCTCCTTTCATAACCTGGGTCTGACAACCTGGGCTCGGCCCCTCCCAGGATCACACTTGTATACATCACGTGGTCATCAATGGTACAGTGCCCTCACGGTCCCTGCTTACCTTGCCAGGCTGGAACACGGGCACCACGCCCAGGGAGGGGCCTGAGAGCTGGGCTGCCTAAATCTAATCCAGGGCCTGCAAGCCATCCCCTGGGGCCTCCCTCTTTGCTCTAAGGGGCTGGGGAAGGCCCCCTCAGTTCATTGACCTTGTCTCCATTTCCTTTGCCCCAGGGAGGCCCTGCTGTCTCTTCCCTTCTTTCCCTCCCTCACCAGTTCCTGGGAAAGTTACCTGAACGCAGCAGATAGGACCTCCCGTCATGTCCCTGAATCTACCAGTTTGGGACATCAGAATCTCATCTGGCACTCAGAAGAGGGGTGGCCTAAATCAGGCACTTCTCTCCTTTCCCTTTCACCCCCCATCAGAGCAGCTGGCATGACCCCTTGTAACAAACACTACCCTTCTCCCTGCTCTCTCCCCGCTCCCTGTTGGCTGCCGCCAACTGCTTGTCATAGCCAGGGACACATATTTGCTCGTTGACTGGGTGGAGGTGGCAGCTGTAAGGTGTGATTGCAGTGAGAAGACGGAAGGAAAGAGCGAGGTGGTGCAGTGGATAGAGATTCAGGAAGACCCGAGTGCAAACACTGCCTACCTGTCTGACCCTGGGCAAGTTATTTAACCTCTGTTTGTCTCAGTTTCCTCATCTGTAAAATGGGGATGATAACAGCACCTAGCTTGGGGGTTGTTGTAAGGGTCAAGTGACAGAATATTTGTAAAAATCGTTAGGACAGCAGACTTTACACTGTAAAGTCCTGGCACATAGTAGATGCCATATAAATGTTAGTTATTACTATTAAGTAGAAAGCAGCCTGGAGCCCCAGGGTGGGTGGATGCCTCTTAGTCTGAGAGACTATACTCTGATTCCAGAACTCTCCTCCCTTATGACAAAAACTCAGAAATTTGTTCTGTGACCTGGGCCAAGTCACATTCCATCTCAGAGCCTCGGTCTCCTCATTTGTAAAATGAGGGGGTTGGGTTGAAGGGTCCCTAAGACTTTTCCTAGCTCTAACACTCTATGTTTCTGAGGGGTTACTTACTTTGCTTTTTTTGGGTGGTCCATATCCCTCTACTCTCCCTGTGGACTTTGGGTCATAGATACTGGTGCTTTAACCAATGACAACTTCAACCCTCCCCCATCCCCCACCTTCCAAAAAAACCCCAACAATCAAAAACTACTGTCTTGTCCCAAATTCAGCCTGCTCTGATATGATACCAAAAAACCAAAACAAACAAACAAACAAAAAACCAAAAAAAAAAACTCACAAATTTAGAGCTGGAAGGGACCTGAAGGGTCATCCAGTCCATTTTACAGATGGGGAAACTGAGACCCCAGAAGTGACTGGCCCATGGTCACACAGATACCAGAGGTGGAATTTTAACCCAGTCTTTTAACTTAATATCTGGTTCTTTCTACTATCCTGAACTGCCTTTTCCACAACTAAATTTCCGTTGAGGTCATAAACCTAGCCCACCCATACTGACAAAGATCACTTCCTCTTGAACAATTCAGCTTTAGAGAAATGTTGGCGCTTCAATTTTCCCTGTCATTTGAGCCCTATGGCCTCCTTAGTCTGTCCTCCCAAGGAGAGGACATCCTCCCATATCCAGGCTTACAAGATTAAAGACAAATTGCTTCTCCTATGATCTCATCATGGATTGGTGGGGCAATACTGCCTTGACCCTTCTGGGGTCTGGGATGAGAGGCTGAAGGGAAGACAGGCAATGTCTTCCGATTCTCTGCCCCACCACACATAGTCTTACTATGTATTACCCAACCTGTCCCCAGCTCCTGCCCAAATATCCTCCCCTCTTACCCCTCTCTTTAGCAATCCCCTAAGAGACTGGTTGGAACCCAGGAAGGAATTTTTCCACACTGGGTCAACCCAACCAGACCTATTGGTTTTTGAGAGACCCAGATAGGGATAGAGGATGTTGGTACATTTTGACATTAACTAGGCCTGCCCACAAGATGCAAATGCATATAAAAGTGAGGACAGATTATGTCCTTCGCCAAGAGTAGGAATTCTAATGTACCCCTGGCTTCCATCCCACATCCTGGGGACAGAAAACTCCATCCTAACTCCAGTTAATATTCCCACTTCCACAGAATCCTCTAGGAGGGAATTGGGAGGAAAGGATTGTCTCTGTCCAGTGCCCCAACCTGAGTGCCAGCCCACTGGGCATGCAGGAAATAGTCCCAAAGGACTCTGGGGTTATGGGTTCCCTGGACTTAAAAAGTGGAGGACCAGCTAGGTGACTGTCCCCAGCTAGAGCGAAGGAGGAGACGAGGGGCTATGCCAGTGCTTCCTGCTGACTGGGGGATTTCTTAGTCATTCCCACCCCCAAATTTCTGCAGAATCCATGCACCCTCCTTGCTTTGCCCACAGAGAGACTGAGAGAGTGGCCAGGTTAAGGGGGAAATTAAAAGGGAGAAGAGGAGCCTGAGAGGGACCAGGTCAAAGGGCTTCAGTGCCCATTTCTCCTCTCCCATCCCACCCTCTGTCCCATTTCTACCTATCTGCCAGGGGCCATACCCTAGAGAGAAAGCCACGCTCCCTCATTCTGCCTCTGTGGGCTTCTCCCCAACCTGTCCTCCAGGCTCTGTCCCACTTAAGACCCCTGCCCCCACCCGATCCCACAGTGCCTGTCCCCTCCTACCCTGCACACAGCCCGGGCGCTGTCCCTTCTCCCCAGGGCTCGGAGCAGCCTCTCCACTGGGCTGCTGGACTTCATGTTTCCCCGGGGGCCAAAGGCCACCCAGGCTGGGATATTTGGGGCAATGCTGGGTGGACACTGGGTGTCCGGCTGGGCGGGGGAGCCAGGAACAATGAAATGACCGGGCCTGGGGCTTCCTGGAAGCCGCAGGATGGAGGCGGTTGCTTCCCTTGGGCGGGGGCTGGGACAAGAAGGGGGGGAGAGGGTGGGTCTGGCTTGTGTCAGATGCTAGAGGTCCACCCCTGCCTGGAGGTGGAGGGGAGTGCAGGGCGGGAGGGGGCACAGCTAGGCTTCAGGAAGTGGGGAGGGCAAGAGAGGATGGGGAGTGGGGGTGGGGACAGAGTCAGATTATATTCCCAAGATCTATCCCATTGGGTCAGTTCAAGGATCCAATCAGATCATATCCTCTCCAACTGACCGGACGGTGGCCATTTCTAGGGATCTATCTCATGGGGGTGGGGGAATAGGTGGACGGGGAATCCCAGGATCCTCGTAGTTGGTATATGCCCATGTCAGATCCTCGTTGTCAAGGAGAAGGGATCTCTCGGATCTGGACAGACCTGGACCTGGTCTCCCTGACAGGGATCCAGATCCCAGGGAGTTCGTGAATAACGTGGAGCCAAAGGAAGAAGTGGGGACGGAGCGTCCTAGTTAGCCTCGTTGTTCAGAACATTTTGTGCCCCCAGGGACTTCCTGGCCCCTCCCTCCATAGCTGGAGGGCCCTGGGAACCAGGTTCCCTTCTTATCACCTTCTCCCCGCCTCCCCCTCCTCCCCAGTCCACTGCAGTCTGGCTGTCAGAGAGGAGGGGTGGAGGCAGGGGATGATGACTGCAGAAGCCCTAGACACATGACTCCTTCTCTGGGGCAGTGGGGTACCCTGTGAGCTGACCGTGTCATGCTGTGGGGGCCTGAGGGACCCCATATCACCTAGAAGCCCTCCTCTGGGGACAATTCTCTTGGCCCCAGAGTTCTTCCTGGTGTCATTTCTTACTCTGTTACCGTATCTCCACCATCCTGATGAGTCTCCCACTGGCTGACCAGTCTCGTCCTGGTCTCCTTTCCCCACCGCAGCCCAGCTTCATCCCTCCTCCCCACTCCCTGACAGTAGAGGAGAGCCCATAGCTGGCCTAAGGAGACAGCTCCTCATCTCTAGCCCATTTCAACCTCTTCCCACCACTCCTGTTAGCCCTCCAGCCCCTCTCCTATTCCTTCCCATCAACCACACCCCACTCCCTCTCGTCACCTTCATGGCTTCCCTCTGAAGTGCTCCCCTGTCTTCACCCAGATCAGCTCCAGAGCCCAGGAGGACAGGACAGGAGTCTCTCCCCCTCCTTCTCACCCTCCTGTTCTCTCCCCTCCCTACCACAGGCCTCCGGCCTCCTGGGAATTCAGCCAGCTTCCTGTCTCAGGAATGGGGTGGAGGTGGGGGGCCGAAGGGGGGAACGGAGGAAACCCTAAGTTTGTCCTTGAATACAAGGGGTTCATGACCTGAATTTCCAAGGATTAACTATTTAGCTGTCCTAACCCCAACCAAACCTTTGAACACCCAGGACCTGAGCAATCACTCAGAAAGAATGTGTCACCCCCTCACTCATTTGCATCTAGTTTGCATGGTATTTACTGAAGGTCAGCCTCTGCCCAGGCAGTCTGCCCAAGCCCTCCTTTTTGACTGTATCCGTCCGTCCTACCTCTGATTCCCCCAGTCCCTGCCCCCTTTCCCCTGAAAATCCTCCCCCCATCCCCTCCACCATAATTGTCCCCAAGCTTTATGTGGGTGAGGCACTGAATTTGTGTATAGAATGTTACAGACTGGAAAAGACCTTAGGGTCTGTTTAGTTTACTAAACTGTAAACACCAAGGAGGCTGACACCTTGACTTATCTAAACTGTGCCTCCCCCAGCAGCTAACAGTGCTCTTCTCTCAGTAGATGCTTAGTAAATCTTTGTTGAATTAAACGGAATTATTGAAGCATCTATTCCAACTGCCTTGTTTTACAGATGACAAACCGAAGGCCTAGAGAGGGGGAAAGGGCTTAGTTGCCCCACCATCCCTTGCTTCCCTGTTTGGACTGGCTCGTATCCTGAAAAGTCTCCTGGTCCTGACCTCCATTTCTTTCTTGCCCTCCCACTCCTGACTAGCTCTCCCCCTCTGGGCCCTAGCAGACTACTAGGATACTAACCTTAGGGGGCTAGGGGAACCTCCACAAAAAAATCTTGCTCCTTTCTATTTTTGCCTTCTCCACTTCCTAACTGAATTGAGGGACTGGGTGCTGCTAAATTGAATCAGAGCCCCATAATGCTCCTAGGTTCAGGCAGCATCTGCCCAACTAACTGTGCCCCTTCCAGACAGATTGGCGTGCAGAAATGGGGAATTTAGGACTAAGGACAGAAACATCCAAGGGGCCTAGTTTCTCAGCCCCGAAATTTGAAAGGGTCAGGCAGTGGATCTTGGGGCCCCTCACTTCCACCACTAAGTCTGGCCAGGTCTCAGGACATTCCAGACATTGTGCCAATGTGGGCAGTAAGACCCTGGCATGATACTGTACCTAGGGAGAGACTGGCACTGAGAAGATCGAGTGGCAGGTGATTTTTCTTTTCTTTCTAGTTCCTCACATCTCCTCTGAGTTGAATTGGGTCAGCCCACAAAACCCTGGACTCTACCTGTAGCCCCCAGCTCCCTTGTCTTTAAATCCTCCCTTCAGGACTGCCATCCTCCTCCTAAGGGGTCTCATCTCCCTGGTACTGGCTCATGGCAGCCTGCAGCTAAACCCTTCCGATATCCCTCCCCTTGGGTCTCCCTAGGTCTGGCAACACTAACTCTTCTACCTTAACCTTCTTTGCTGGTGGTTAGAAATGGAGGGAGGAAATACTTCTGAGTCAGGCCTCAGTTTCCTCCTTGTGTTCTGGGAGTGTGAGGGGCATGAAAAGAGAGGCACTACATTATAGAAATGATTTGAGATCACCTGGGTACCCCTGATTGGCATCTGCAGAGGAGAAGATAGGTGGGCAGGAGGGAGAGCAGTCTAACTTCCTGCCATATTGTAGGGTGAGAAAACTCACCTATCTGGTGTGGATACCTAAGGGTTAAGGTAGGAAGAAAGTTGGAATATTAGCCCCCTAGCCCACATGAAACTCAGTTCTCAGCTGGACTTCTGCTCTCCCACTGCTCCCTCCTGTCCCAACCATCCTTGCGGGGCACATTCCAGTGCTTGCCTGCCTCTTCCCTCCCCTGACTTGGCCCCCTCATATGCTGGGCCAGGAAGTCTTCGGTTTGTTTGGAGAAGCCCCCTCCACCCCTTACCCCCCCCTCCTGGAAATAGCTGTGGTTGGATACAGAGGCTGGAAGCCCAGGCCTGGCTAGAGGGGAGGGGGAAAGGGTGAAAGGGCCGAGGAAAGAAGGAAGGATCCAGGCCTTAATTGGGGGCGGGGGGGGGGGGAGTCCTAGGGTGGGAGCAGAAGGGAGGCCAGATAACTGGGGATGGAGAATAAATCAGGGGTAGGGACTGGGGGAATGGAAAGGTGTGTGTGAGTGTGTGGGGGAAATTGTGCCAGAAGCATAGCTGGGGATATAATTTCTGTCTTTACTTGCTTCCTGCCTCAGTTTCCCCAAAGATGAAGGACGGGGGAAGGAAGCCCTATCCACTCTCCAAAACCTCTAAAATCTTGGGCCCAGGGTAACGTTCCTGCTGCTGCGGGACTCTCGGTGCCGCTGGGGGTGACTGCGAGGCATACTCGCCTCCAGGTAGCACTTTAGGGGCTGCCTATCAGGCTACGTCTGCTAACCTGACTGCATTGAAAGGGTGCGGCTTGGCCCTGGGAAGGTGCGCGTCCCAAGACGCTAGGGTATATGCGAGTGTGCTGGGGGGTGGGCGTACCTGCGCATGGAAGGGGGTGTGTGCGTATGCCTGTGTTGTGTACGTGAGTCCCCGCAAGCCCTGCCTCCTAAGGTCGGCGTCTGCGCATCGCTGCGGAAGAACAAACTTTCCTCGTCCTAGGCTAGTAGAAGTGGGTGTGAATGGGTAGAGTCCCCCCGACCCAAGCCGGGCTCCAAAGCGGGGTCCCCCTCCCCCACCGGCCCCACTCCCGGGCCTCGCCCAGGGCACCGCCCTCCTGCCCTCTCCTCCTCCTCTTCTTCCTCCTTGGCCCCGAGATCAGCCGTGACGCAGCCGCCGCCCACTCACCTTGGGGGGCCGCCCTGCGGGGCGGGAGCGCGGGGGGCAGCAGCAGGGGGAGCCCCCGGCCCAGCCCATCCCGCCGCCGGGGCGGAGAGTGAGGGATGGAGGAAGGAGGGACCCGCAGCCGCCGCCACCGCAGCAGCCACCCCCTCGCCGCGCGCTTCCAAGTGCAGCTCCGCTCTCCTCCCGCCTCCGCCCCGCGCCCCGGTTCCCGGCGCTGCCCGGCCCGGCTGGGCTGGGCTGGGCTGGGCTGCTCGCTGCCCTCCTTCGTTCCTCTTTTCCTCCCTCCCTCCTTCCCTCCCTTGCTCCCTCCTTCCCTCGCTCCGGCTCCAATCCCCACTTCCCGCCCCGCTCCCCGCCCCCTAGCCCTCTCTTCTCCCCACCTTCTCCCGAGGACTGCACGAGACACAGACTGGAGCGGAGAGACGGGGAGAGACCCCGAGACCCTGCCAGGCCCCCTCTGGGGAGCGGGGGGGGGCTCCCCGGGATGGCCTTTTCACCCCCGTCCTCCCAGCTGGAGGTCAGGGCTGAGGTGGAACACAGCCATCGGGTCCGAGGGTCCTTCTGGTCACCCCCGGCCCCCGGCCCACCCGGGGACGCTCCCAGGCCCCGCGTCCGTGCACTTGGGCTTGGGGTCAGGCCTGGGCGGCCTCTGGCTTCCTGTTTCCCAAGCAGTTGGACACACACTTCTCCTCCCTCTTTCCCAGCCGGGCTTGGCACACACCCAGAGCCGATAAACAGGACAGATCAACTGCCTGCCGTCGTAGCTATTGACGTCCAGGGTTTTCTTCGCAAGGAAATGTACTTCGCGAGGGCTGGGGCTGTGACCCCTCTAGCTTGACATACCAGGGTGCTTAGCATGAATTCAGTTCACATTTACAGTACTAAGTGCCCCATCTGTGCCGAAAACAGTGTGCTAGGCCCTGGGGGAGATTAGAAGTTTTTAAATACCTGGCGCCTGCCCTCAGGGAGCTTGCAATCCAGTAGTGGTGTCCGATACAAACTCATAACCATAACAGAAAATAAAGCGTGTGCATAAGAGATGAGCAAAGTATTTTGTAGGAGGCAGGGAAGCCTTGATGGAGAAGGACTACATTTGAGTTGGGCTTTAAGGAGGGGTAGGCACAAATAAGCATATGCCCAAAAGGGAGTCGAGACAGAATATACCAAAATATTCACAGCAGTACTGTTTGGATTAGCAAATTTAGGTAGGGTCCCAGAGATTGAGGAACGATTGATAGAAGGATGGATTGACAAAGATGACAAGAGAGGAAAATGACAAATGTGGAGGGGCTGTGGGAAAGCTGAGACACTGGTACGTTGTTGGTGGAGCTATGGATTGGCGCAGCCATTCTGGAAAGCAGTTTGGAACTACGTCCCCAAAGTTACTAAATCATGCATATACCCCATATCTCACAGTGATACCAATACTAGGCATATAATTCCCAAAGAGAGATGAGGACCTGTATATTCAAAAATACGGGTAGCAGGTATTTTTTGTGGTAGCCCCAAACTGGAAATTAAGAGGATGTTGTCCTATTCAGGAATGGCTAGACAAATTGTGGTATATGAATGTAATGGAACATTACTGTGTCCTAAGAAATGACAAAAGAGACTGTAGTAAAGGAAATTAGAAAGACTTGTATGAACCCATGTAGAGTGAAGTGAGCAAAACCAGAGAAATTTGCACAATAACAATGTAGAAAAAAAAAACAACTTTGAAAGATTTTAGAACTCTGATCAATGCAATGATAAGCCATAAATCCAAAAAAATAAAGAGGAACATGGCATCTTCTGACAGAGAAGTGATGAACTTAAAAGAAAAATACATTTTTGGATATGACTTCAATGTGGAAATTTGTTTTGCTGGGTTAGGCATCTAAGTATCTATAACTTGATTTTTCATGTTTTGTTTTGTTTTGGGCTGGGGTAAGTGGGAGGGAAAGATTAATAAAATAATTTTTTTTTAAATTTGGGTATATGAATGCAATGGAATCATATTATGCACTAATAAATGACAAATAAAATGTAGGTCCTAAATCATAGGTCTGACCATGTCATTCCCTGACATTGACTTCAGGGGCTTCAATTTATCACCTCCAGATGACAGACCCTGAGTTTTGCATTTAAACCTCTTCACAACTTGGCCCTTTCTGACCTTTCCAGACACTTGATTCTACATTAATGAATAAGCCTAAAGTACTCAACAGGGATGAACTGCTTACATTCTAGTATAGGGAGATGATGTTATATGTTTCCTTTTAATCATGTTATCATCAGGGACTATTAAGGGAGTATAATTATAATTATTGCTATTATTAATTTTTTTGGTGAGGCAGTTGGAATTAAGTGACTTGCCTAGGGTCACACAGCAAAGTGTCAAGTGTCTGAGGTCACATTTGAACTCAGGTCCTCCTGACTCCAGGGCCAGTGTTCTATCCACTGGAGGGAGCAAAATTAGACAAGGCCTGAGAATGTTCTTGATGATTTTAAGAGAATGGAAAGAAATGGGAAGAGGAATGTCCTGGGACTGAGGGAGATTATGGGGAAGGGAAAGGAAGGTTAAGGAAAATTAGCATAATCAGGTTGTGCAAGTAGGCACCTATACAAACAAGGAGTGAAGGAAATGACTTAACACTTGAACCTTACTCTCATCTGAACTGGTCAAAGGTGGAAAGATTACATACACACACACAAACACACACACACACATGCACAGAATTGAGTACCGGAATATATTTCACTCAACAGAGAAAGGAGGGAAAGAGTGAGAAGAGAAAGGGTGAATTATAGGGAGAGTACACTAAGGGAGGGGTTAGTCCTAAGCAAAACAAACTCTAAGGATGTACCAAAAACCTATGGTTCTTTTTGAGATGGCAAAGAATGGGAATCAGAAGGGGTGCCATAAACTGGGGAATGGATGAACAAGTGATGACATGTAGATATGATGGAATATTATTGTGCTATAAGAAATGAAGAAGGGGATAGTTTCAGAGAAACCTGGGAAGACTTGTATGAACAGATGCAGAGTGAAGTGAACAGAACCAGGAGAATAATTTATATGACGAAAACAATATGGCCAAGGTAAACAACTCTGACTTAGATTAGGAGCGCCAATCATAATTCCAGAGGATTAATGATGAAACATTTAACCACTTCCTGATAAGAAAGGTGAAGGACTCAGAGTGCAAGATGAGATACATGTATTTTTTGGATATGGACAAGAAATTTTATTTGCTTGACTATACCCATTTGTAACAAGAGTTTTTTTTTTTTTTCCATTAAAAAGAGAGGGGGAGGTATTGGGATAGGAGAGAGAAAAGGTGAATTTTTGCTGGTTGAAAAAAAATTTTAAATAAAATGAAATTGAACTCGGAGTAAAGGAAAAACTAATGAAGGGTAATGAAACATCCTCCCTTATAGCAGAAAGGTACCGGGATGAGGGGGAGGGCTATTAGAACAGAATATTGCATATGTTGTCAGTCTCTGTTTCAGACCTTTTCCCTTATTTATTTTGGTCATAAGGGAGAGCTTGATATGTATGTGGTGGTGGGGAAAAGACTGGTGTAAAGACAAAAGGCAAAAGACATTTCATATATATATTTTCTTATATATCTATATATACACACACATACACCCATACATGTGTAGATATTTCCCACATATATTTATATTTGCATATGTACATATATATTCAAATATAGGATGGGTGGGAATTCAACAAGAGGATAAACTCTAGGTTAGAGAGGAGAGAAGAAGGAGAAAGCACCTAGCCTTGGGAATAGTTCAGTTTAGTTTAGGATAGTAAATGAGAAAAGGTTGGAAGGTGTTGCTAAATTGTGGAGAGCCTTGAATGCCAAGCATTGAAGTGTCTTTCAGGCTGAGGTGAGCTGGTACCAGCTTTAATAGGCTCTTGACTTTTCTCAGTATTCAGTGTGAGCGTTTATACCTCAGAAATCAGCAAATGCTATAAATTGGGGCTTGTTTTTTATTGATTTATTGTTTTGTTAATTGTCTACATTTAAGAAAGTAATTGAGGGGCAGGTAGGTGGCACAGTGGATAGAGCACCAACCCTGGAGTCAGGAGGACCTGAGTTCAAATCCAGCTTCAGACACTTGATATTTACTGGCTGTGTGACTCTAACCCCACTGCATAGCCTAAAAAAACAACGTAATTGAGAAAATCATAATAATGCAGATTAAACTTAATAGTGTGTGTTGTGTACTCTCTCCCCACCTCCAAGTTAAACGTTTACCAGCATACCATTGCTTTTAGGTCAAGTCAAATCATGTTGCTGAATTGAATTTGAGTTATTGAAACAGAGAGGAGGACTCAGGAAGAGATCTATCTTTTCCTCTCCTTGGTCAGGATGTCCCCCACTCTTTCCTTAGTTTTTCCTCTTATCAGGGAGAATTTATTAAAAGGGCCAAGGGAAGGAGCATGCTAAGGAAGAGAACCTAGACAGATCATTTCATCTAGCTCTCTCTCTCTCTGAGCAGGATCATATCCTATCCCATCCCAATCATTGGAGAATCTCTTATTTTTAAATACTTCTTCCTAACCTTTGCCTTTTCCTCTCCCCATTCCAAAATGAGATTCAAATCTCTCACAATCAAGAACTTCCTCATGTCTATATCTAACTTTAATCCCTCTAACCTAAGTATAAACTGTTTGCTTATGATAATGAACAAGCAATTATTAAGCACTTACTATCTTCCTGCACTTGGGATACAAAGAAAGACAAAAACAGTCCCTGCCCTTCAGGAGCTCAAGTTCTAATGGGAGATAA